TCGATCTCTTGTGTGTGTAAAGACCGTTTGCATTGGGTCTTTGAGTTATTGTGCACTTAATAAGTCTCATTTGTGCGAGCGTCAATCGTATCGTTCTCTAAACAATGTTCGGTGAACGAGCTTCACACGAATCAGTCAACTCAAGACGCTCTACAGAGAACAATATCAAGAACAACCGAACTCCCTCGCTCAGAGCGTAAGGAATTAAAAAGTACGCTTTTAGCAAGGTATGATAATAATATATTATCGTATATATATAATAGAAGTACTTGGAATTTATTGTACTCCACTTATAACTACATTTCATTCAATTTACACCTTTCGACATCCACTTTCCCTCTCTCTCCCTCTTTGCCACCCTCTACAACTTTTCATAATTTATGGCTATATCTGCCTTAAATCATAGCAAGAACACTCCACCCTTAACACACCTATTAAAGCCATAATAACAATATATAATAAGATGTCAACTGTCAGAGCTTACAGGGTATTGCCCTATCAAGTACACATAATTCAGGCGCTGCTTAAGCGTGTTGCTTTTCGTTTGATATATATACATTTTTTTTGGCTAGCTTTTGGCTAGAGGATAGGATATCAGAGCCCTAATCTGGCAAGCAAGGCGAAACCAAACCCCATTGTCCGCTATCTGCTATGCCCGTAAACTCCTTTTCGCATGACGCTGAGGTACTGTCAACAGCTTTGTAATTAGTTGCCTGTTTTTGTGTGTGTGTTTTTTTTTTTTCGTTCGTTTGGTTCGTTTTTCTTGCTCTGCACTCCATGGTCACCATCGCTCTTCGGTGCTGTCGCTGCTAATGTCAGCGCGAGATTGATGGCGATCCATTTTTTAGTTCGCTGCCATGCGAGATGGACAAATGCTGACCATCATTTTTGAGCTGTCTGCTGTCTGCTGTCCTCACAGGCGGCGTCGCATTGCGTATACATAAGGCTTTAATTAGCCAAGTGCCATTTGGCTCGACTCAACTCCGCGAATGCTCAATGCCAAACTGAATTCAAAATCCAGATTCCCGAGCGCTGAATGGCAAATGATAATGAATGATAATGAATTGTGCCCAGAGCAAAAGCGTATCGCAAAATTCAAATATTGTCAGCGGGTGGAAATTGTTAAATTGAAATGCGTTTGCGTTGGCAAATTTGCATAACAGCAAAAATTATACTACTCTACTCTACTCTCCTTCACTCTATTCTTTCTCTCTCTCTCACTCTCTATCACTTTTTGTCTCTATGTATTCTTCAAATAAGCATTGCAATTGTCATAATATTGACTAAACTCACTTTTGAAATGCATATTGAAATAAATATAAAAATACATTTCCCTTTAGAATTTTTAATTTATTCAAAATATATATATCTCTCAAGAGAGAGAGGGATAGTGAGGTAAATTACTAAATTTTCACAGTCGGACAGGCAATGCATACAAAATATGTAATAATACAATTGTAGTTTTTACACAACTTATGTGAACGATTGGCCAGTGTTCGGCTGATTAGATAAATTATAGAGAAGATAAATTTGCGTAGATAAAAACGGTTTAGTATAGAAATTATTTAAAATAAAAATTGAATTTTATTTATTTTAATGAGAGCAGTTTATGCTTTAAAAATACATTTATTTATTTTTTCTATTGTACATAATTTTTATTTGAAAGACTTTTTTGATTATTATGTTATTTATACACTGAATTTAATTAAATTAAAATTTATTTATGTATTATTGTAATTAATTTATTTTTGTGATTTTTAAGTTAGCTTACTATATTTTGCTTTTAGTAATAAAATAAACAATACAATACAATTCATCATAAAAAATTTAAAAAAAATCCTCAACATAATTAATAATAATATGTTTAATACATTTAATTTATCATAAATTAAAAAATATGTGTTTTAAAATAATTTGAAATATACCAGCATATATAGCAGTATATTTTAAATACATTCACATATTAAGTCCGGTTTTCATATCAATTATTTCGCCCTTACAAACTCGCCTGACATTTTTTTTGCTTTTGATAGATCCAAAATCCTTTAGAATTCTGAACAATACACCTAGCTGGAGCTGGCTGTCAATAACAGGGTATTACAACAACAGTTGCCAAGCGAAGCGTTGACAAAACCCCAAAAGAGGTAAAAATTTAACAGAATTGCAAATGCTGTTGACACTTGCACAACGCAAACAATTGTCCGCAATCTGCTGCTCTCTCACCTAGCTACAGCTACAGCTACAGCTCCAACTCCCTTTCCCTTTCCCTCTTACTCGCACACACTCTCCCGCTCTCTGTGTCAGTCACCTGCCCTATTCTGCTCCGTCTGACTCGGTGCTTGGCTTTGGGTTTGTATTTGAAATCTGGTCTGGGTTGCGTTTTGGCAATTTTCATGTTTGCATAGTTTTTTGGCAACACTTGATTGCCTTTTGGCTTTGGCCGGAACGCAGAGCCAACCTGGCTAAACAAATCCAGCCAGTGAGCTTGACAGAGCGCCCGTATCTGCACAGCACTTTTGTTGTTGCTAACATTTTTTTTATTTTATTTATTTTTTTTTTTCTGTCATCTTTTTTCTTTTGTCGCCTTTGCGTAATCAAAAACAAAAATTTAAATAATTGCAATAAATTTTTTCTTATTTTCTCATTTTGTCATGCTGACAAATTAGATAAGTTAGCTGTGTATGTGTGTGTGTGTGTGTGTGTGTGTGGGAGTGTATGGGAGTGTGTGTGCGTGGCACATAAATCATATTTAGCTTTGCGGCGCCAGCGAACATTCAATCAAAGTGCAACAAATCCCTCAAATTTGTTATGCGTCACGTACAACTGTCAAGTCGCAGATGTGTGTGTGTGTGTATGTGACTGTGTGTGTGTGCGTGTTTGCCATTTATATGAGACTTTAAAGTCTAGCGAGCCTAAAAGCTAATACAAACACACATATCTATAGATATTTTAATATTATTTAATGCAAAGTGCGGTCTGACTTGGGCTCTTGTTTATGCTTATGGAAATAATCGTAATAGTAATCGTTATCGGAATTGAAAATCGTATGCCAACCACCCGACCGTCTTGGCATTTGACTGGGTTATCAGCTTTACACTCAACTGAATATATTCTGGGGTATTTGTAGATGCCAGCCACGGCTTATTAAATATTAAATTGATAAGGCAGTGACTGACTGAATGACAGTTTCTGTTGTGGTAGTGGTTGCCTTTTCCTTTTCCTTTTTTTTTTTTTTTTTTTCCTTTTTTGCGGATGCCCTAAACTTATTAAAAATTGGAATGTAGGATATTATGTATTCACAGCGTTGTATGTGACGGATTGCAGGAGGCGTGGAAGAGTAGAATACATTAATGTGTGTATGTATATATTGTAGGGCCTATAAAGTATATTATTTTTGTGGATGCACAGCTTAGATAATCTGGGCATGTCTTACGTCTGTGCATCTCTTCATCTGTAAGTATAATTGTAGTCGTTCTTTTTTTTGAGTATGAACTAGATATGCAGACGTTTTATGTAATCGATAAATTCTTAAATATTTTTTTAATCGATTAAAATCGATATAAGTCTAAAATCATTTAGGTATATTTGATAATTTTTTTTTGCTTGATTCATCAAATGAAATATTAAGCATACGCACATATGGAGCACTTTTAAGTAACTGAAAAGGGTATCTTCTAGTCATGCACTCCCTCGGCTAGACTACTCCTTTTGTGCCCATTCTTTTTGGTATTCGCATTTGTTGCCTATTTCGCTTGTTGTTGTTGTTTTTGTTTTTTTTTAAGCGGCTTTTGCTCGGCATTCGCGTGTATAGCACGTGCCACGCCCCCGCCCATTGCCCAACTGGGATGCTCTCAATACAATGCCGTTGTATGCTAATATTGCGGGCATATTTTTCATGTCGCAATCATTTTGTGTGCCATTTTTTTCTTTCTGTTTTTTGTTTCTACTTTATTTTATACTTTTCATTGTTGTCGTTGTTGCTGTTGCTGCTGTTGGCATTGCTTAAGCGTTGATTGCAAGCATTTGCATAATTTAAGATTGTTCTGTTCACTGACACTCGACATACTCATACACAGACACACACACACACACACACATAGGCACATACACATACACGCTTGCAGAGTGTATTTCAACATGGTGTCCCCACTCTGGCGGCGCATTAAAATGAAAATTCCAAGCTCAGTCGACGCTCGTTCAAGATTAACATATTTCTTTGAAGCTCCGGCTAAATTATTAAGGTTATAAATAGCAGTGTTGGTAGCCAGTGTTGTATTATACCAAGTGCCCATTAAGTGAGTGTAATGGTTATATTAAGATATTCTGCAGGCAGCAGCAGCAGCAGCAGCAGCAGCAGCCGCAAGAGCAACAGCAATAGCAACTGCTAAGTCAATTGGAATATGACTTAACAAATTAAACGAATTCATGTGAAAAGGATCATTTCTCGCGTGTGGGCGTGTGTAGATTAATTATATCATACATTACATGAGATTCTTGTTTTCTTCTCTGCTTTAATTTCCTGTCATATGATATTGTAGGGAATTTGTTTTTAGATTATTTTACGACTTCTCTTTCATTTCATGTTATATTTATCTCTTATCTCCAACTATTTCGATCTTTATATTTCTCTCATATATATGTTTGTCACGTTCTCTCTGTCTTCCTTTTGCATTCTCTGTCTTTTTATTCATGCCCTCTTTTTCGATTTACTCTCGCATTTTTGGCCTTTCCTTCTCCTTTAATATTTAGCCTTTCTTTGCTAGTCTTCTCCTCTCATTCTCTCTTTGCAGTACAGGTTGCTCGGCATTCACATTTTATACTTTTATAGAGTATCTGCCACTGCGAGCAATCTCAGATTAAACAACTTTATTTTATTGCAGTCTCTGTTCTGTAGTTTCGTTTCTGCTTTTGCAAATATTGAATGACAAAAATATAAAATAAAAAAAGAGAAATAAAATAAAATAAAAGTTTCTCATTTCCATTTCAATTTCTTATTGCAGTTTCAGCCGGTGGCAGCCGGTGGTGCAGCCTGAGCAAAAATAACCACGACGACGACGACGACGCCGAGGACAAATTCACCTGCCTTTTGACAGCGACAGCGATTGGAGGGAGGAGCCGGCAGGTAGCTGTAGGCGGCAGGCGGCGGTAAGCATCCTGTGCTGTGGGCATGTCCACAGCCAAAAGACTGGTGCTCTCGCTACGTGGACGTAAAAATTCGCAGGGCAACTCGGCGACATCGTCGACGCGGCTCGTATCCGCTGGCACCTCGCCGGGCCATGAGCTGGACGAAATAGCCGTTGTCTCCGGCACCGGTTCGACTAGCCATCATTTCTCCTATGGCGGCTGCATTGGCAATAACAACGACGCCATCAGCGCCGCGGCTGTGGCCTGTTATTCAACAGGTAAGCTAAACACACAAATACATGCATAGATGTATAAGATATAGAAGTGTATAATACACACACACACACACACAGAGACACACGCTCTACCCTCCAATCCAACCGCAGCTCCTGTGCACCCACAACAAATGAAATGCCTAAGTACTTTTCGTAATTCATCTTCCAATCCAATGCACAATGCAGTTAAACCACCAATCAGAGAATCATAATCGCCAAAATTGAATTTATAGACTTGGCCACGCCCACCACCCCACCTTGTACACCTTGTAAAACCCCACGCTCTCTGCATGCATTCGCATTTGTTGTGTAGATTTTAGTGGCGCATCTCTTAAAGATCTATACACACATCGTATATATATATATAAAACTGCTTATCAAGTATATTTTAATTATTATATCATTAGAGGTTAGAAGAAATTTACATTAAAATAAGTCAGTAAGCGATTATAGGGTATATTTTTATTAAAATTAAACTCTTAACTTTCATGAAAAATGGATTTTTAAACACAAATGGAATTCGTACAATTATATATAATCATATATATTTATATATACTTGACTCGTTCTCTCCAGCTATTACCTTTGTCTGCATTGCAATTTCTTTGAATGACCTGATTTTCTGCTCCTTTATTTGGCATTTAAATTTTTCATATAGCTTTGGCTTTGGTTTTGGCTATGGGTTTGGGTTTTTCGGTTGAAGCGAGAATTGCATTCGACAGTTGCAAACAACTTTTCTTATTTTCCGTATTTTTATTTTTATTTTTTTTGTTTGCCATTGATTGGCATTTCGATAATGTCAGCCAAGATAGACAAAGCCAGCGCCGAGTCAAAGGTGCGATGCCAAACGATGGCATTTCGCATTTGCATATTTAATGCAGTTGACTGACTCTCAAATGGCACAACTTTAATGCCATCAGCAGGAGCAGGAGCAGCAGCGCCAGCAGCATCATCATCATTGTCAGCCAAGCTCGCAACGGATTAAGTTATGGAAAATCGCATTCTCAGTGAAAAGGCAACAGTTTAGACACTCACCTTTCACCTTTTGTTATGTGAACTCATAAAAGCAAATGCTAATGCATTAAGCTCTGCATACTTATGCAGTGACACTATAAAAACTCCAGCTCAAGAACTATAAAGTTCATTTTGAGATATATACATATATAAACTGGTAACTGTGGTGCAATATTCGTTGGGTTTATATAGAATTGCAGTCGATGAACTTAGTAAATAACAAGCAAGAAAAACAGCTTAGGCAATGCCAAATGTCTTTGAATAGTTCTTGATACAGCGGAATGTCCAAAAATAGCTAGATATTTGGTATTTTATTGTCACATAGAATATAGCGCATAGAAATACTATAAAACTAGCACGACAGATCGATAAACACATATATATGTATAAGCTATAGAAATAGTCTAAAGCACTCTAAAGCTTATAGGGCTATAGCCTTAAAACTCCAAATCTAGCTAAATTTACGCCCAAGCTTTATTTAAAATCAATATCAGCATTCGCTCTCTAGAATTTCAAACAGGAAAACAGCTAAAAACCTGATATATACCTTATATATTTAAGATATTCAAATAGAGCCTGGAACAGTATCTAATGGCAGACATTTCCATGAGTTCGCTCACGATTGCATAATAAATAAAATGGCCATAAAGAGCAGCTGGCTAGCTGACTGGCTGGCTGGCGGGCAGGCCAGGTGAGCAGCAGCTAGCTGTAGTTGAAGCTGTAGCTGCGACTAGCCTACGTGTGAGCTGCTTAGGCTGCTCTGATTTGACAAAGCGCCTTAGCCGGGTCGCCCATTTAGTGGGTAAGTTGTATTTGTGAAGCCTGTCTGTCACAATTGAGCCACAAGTCTGTTAGCTGGCTGTCTGCCTGTTTCTGTTGTTGGCCTGCACAAATCTGGCGCTTTGTGTCTTTTATGTGTGTGTGTGTGTGTGTGTGCGGAGAAGGCAAAATAAATCAATCAAACGACAAATATGCTTAGACAATTGCCGGGCCAGGGTGCTGGCTATGGCCTACAGCTTGTGTCCTAATTTCATTGCCAGGCTGCCAGTAGTAAACTTGACACAAACACAGGCATACAGACACGCAGGCAGACACACATACAAACACACACACGTACGCAATGCCTGGCGTTGTCTTTGGGCTAGCCACAAACGTAGTTCGTTTCCTTTTGCGGTTGCTTGGCTTGTCACATTTTATAGGCCGCATATGTTGCGACCATTTTTCTTTAGCCAGCTGTTGTTGTCTTTATTATTGTTGTTGTAGCACGTTCACTTTGGCTTACAGTTAATTTTGAGCGAAATTCAATTTATCATTGTGCGGCCCATAAATCCAAATTTCGTTTGCCAGGCCGAAGAATCAGAGCTGCTGCTGCTGCTGCTGCTGCTGATGCTCCTGCTGCTGCTGCTCCTGCTGTTTCTGGCCGTGCAACCTGGCCTACTAAAGTGGACAAATGAGATTTATGTGAATGATTCTGTTGTCGCATTCCATTTGTTTTCAACATCAGTTAAAAGTGACTGCAATTTGTAAGCCAACAACAACAAATCCAACAGCCGTAAGCAGCGACAGCAGCAGCAGCAACAGCAGCAACAGCTTCACAAAATGAGGGTCAACGTGACGTATGCGCAATATGTTAAGGACTTCAGCTGCAATACATAATGCTATGTGTATAAATTGCAAGTGCTTATACATATATGTATTTATATGTGAGTGTATGATGGCGAGTGTGCGTGTGTGTATGTATGTGTGCTGCTGTGTGTGTGAGCTGTAAAGTTTTTCAGGCAGTGCTATTGACATTTATCGCTTGGTGGCTCGAATTTAATGACTGTTAAGTTGTTTATGTCCAAATGCACGCTTTAACGCTTACACTGCAGCATGGATAGTGTTCGAGCATTAAATGACTGACTATAAGTTATGCTGTAAATGAGTTGAAGTGAAGGTGAAGATAAACTTTTGAAAGGATATAGCAAAAATCAACATTGACTTTGTCTTGACTGAACAAGCAATCAGACTATCTAGATAGTTGACTCTCAGATTATATATATAATATTTGCATATGTATATATCATATAGTGACTTAATATCGGTTATTTTTATCTTTTTTTATGCATATATATTGAATGATTGTATCTCCAGACAGCTAAGCTAACTAAACTTTGACTAAATGACCAATCGAACTATCTAGTTATCTGTCTATTAATCTATATATAGTCATTCAATCTCACTTGCGCTTAAGGGGTTTATCCATTTAAATTGAGTGACATAACATACTCTCCGGCTTTGCCTCGACTGAAAGACCAATTTCACTATTAAGTTATCTGTCAATCAGTCTATATATGGAATATAGGCATCTCTATTGACTCAGTTTCATTTACGTTTTATGCTCTCTATCTATTTTTATTGAATGACGACATTACATGGCACCTCCTGCCAGCTAAGCTAACTCCTGCTTCCACTTAGCTATAGGGTATTTTTGCCGTCAAAAGCACAGCTTCGGCCGCAACCACAACAACAGCACCAGAGGCAGCATCAGCAGCACCAGCAGCAGCTAAAAATAAAACGAAACTTTTCAACTTTTGGCATATTTTTTTCCTCAATTTTCTCTGTCTCTCTCACTCTCTCTCTCTTTCTTCCTTTTACGCTCTGCCAATGAAGTTGACAATTTTTAGCGTGTACGTACATTGCTCTTTCAAGACTATCAAGCGAACTCCAAAAGTATGTGTGTGTGTCAGAGTGTGTATTTGGTCGTTGACAATAGCAATTTGGTCGTGGCTTTGATCAAAGTTTATTTTGCCTTTTTTTGTTTTTTGTTTTTAGCCTGCTATAGCATAGCTAAATTGAATTTGACTCTCACAAAGAGGCAGCAGCTGAAACGGAACATATTTTCGGCTCTATTTTGTTTCTCTTTTTTTTTTGTAATTTTTATTTTTAAGAGCTGCACGTGCGAAATAGGCGTCGAATAATCTAATTTGGTGTGTGCTGTTTTTAGCGTCAAATTTTATTAATAAACGAACGGAAAAATCAGGCGCGAGCTCGTCGCTTTAATACTCTAATTGAAGGGGATGAGCAGAAAAATCCAGTTGGGCTTAATGCCAGGGTGTATAAAATATATATACATATATATGTATTTTTTTTTGTATTTTTTATG